AAAATATTAACAAAAGGGGAGAGATTCACCACCAGGTAAGATTTAAGAAGCCTCAAGGAGAAAGTCACTTTGGCCCTGAAAGTAAGGGGAAAAGCCCTAATAATCTATAGCAGCATTATCTTTTCTTTTGCTTTGTTTTGAGATCATGAGAGACCGGAGGTAATAAGGCAGCCATGGGAACCGATACAAAAGAGTGACTAGTCCCTCTGGGGGAGGATGACTACAAAGCCCTGCTCTGGCAGAGCATGTTTTGGAAGAAGTGACAGCCATAACGGGGGTAAGAAGAAAACCACTGAAAATGTAACAAATTCATTAAGTTCAAACACAGGCATTTGAGAGAGCTGGAATCCTGGGAAGTCTCAGACACCAATTGAATTCAGGTTCACAGACAGAAAGAGATCCTGTCTCAAAAAAACAGAGTCAGAAGTCTGCCAAGACTGGATAAAAGCAAGAACAAAAATAACAGATGCTGGTGAGTTTAGTAACCCCAGCAGAAAAAGGCCCAAGCGCTTACACCCTGTTGGTTGGAGTATAAATTAGTTCAACCATTGTGGAAAAAGAGGTGTGTATTCCTCAGGGACTTAAGAACAGAAATACCGTTTGGCCCTGCAGTCCCATTGCTGGGACTGTACCCAAAGGTACAGTCCCTCCCTCCCCTCCCTCCCCTCGTTCCTTTCTCCCTTGCTCCTTGTCTCTCACTCTTTCCACTCTTTTTTTCTTTTTCTCTTTTCCTTTACCTTCTTTCTGTTTTTAATGGGAGTTTCACTCTTTATATTCGAACTGGAGTGCAATGGCACGATCTCAGATGAATCACTGAAAATCTCACTTCTGGGTTCAAGTGATTCTCCTGCACTCGGCCTCCCCAGTAGTTGAGTATGCATACACCACACATGTGGCTAATTGCTGTATTTTTAGTAGAGATGGGTTTCACCATGTGGGCCAGGCTGGTCTCTTCTCCTGACCTCAGGTGATCCACCCACATAATACGCAGCAAGATTTTCAGCCCACACCACCCAGGAGAAGAGACATTCAGTTGCTTTTGTCTGCACCTCAGTGTATTTAAATTAACCAGAATGTATAACGTGGGTGACACAGCTGCTAATGGGGCATTAACATATTTAAATGGAAATATTTATTTTCTAAATTCAAATGTATTTTAAAGTTGACATTCTTACTTAAAAATTAAAAGAAAGCAAGGTTATCACACACACGAGAAATGTAGCTGTAAGGGGAAAAGTAAGAGAAAGGAAAAGTTTGAAATCTAAAGGGAAAAAAGGAAATCTAACTAGGAAGCCAAATTTATCTGCAATGTAAAGCCTGCTTGATGTAATTTCCTTTATTTTTCATATGAAGTGTAGTTTAGTGTACATATTGTAATTTCTACTTTGAGAAATGAAACATACAGTCCCAAAGGGTGTAGTATCTTGCCCATATCAAGGCACTGTGTGAGAGGCAAGATGGAAACCATTGGCTACTTCCATGCCATGATCTGTAAAGAGACACAGTGTGGGTGGGACCCAAGTCATCTTGCTTCAACAAGTTGCCCTGAGCCAGCATTTTCTTCTACCTAGGCCTAATTCTCTCACCTGGCTCCATGGCCCAGGGACTTCTCACATGTTCTGTGGCAAGCAGGATACTAGGAAGAAGCAGATGAGAACCACAGCACAGGAGGGTATGGGGGAAGAGGCATGGAGATTCTGTGCCCACTAGGGAGCATGCTGCCCTCCATATGTTCCAGTGAGCCAGAACTCTCTGAATCATCACTTTAGCTGGTTTTTGATGGAGAAGTTTCATTATGTAGGTGTAAAGATTAAACTGTTGTCCTGCCATTGAGGATCAATCTAACTTTCTGCCCCCTCTCCCTTCCTGAAGGTTGAGCGGGGGCTGAAAGTCCCAACACTCTTATTCCCCACAGCCTAGAGCTACCCCTAGGTCCTGCCAGCAACTCACTGGCATACAAAGAGACACCACTTTGTGGAGTTTCACAAAATTATGAGGACTTACTTTGTGCCCAGGAAGGCGGGGTCTAGGACCAAATATGTATTTCATAATATCACCTGGCCACACCAGCTCAATCAGAATACAAAATTTCAAAAATGACATTTTTTTTTTTTAAATAGAGTCTCTCTATCTCAAAAAAAAAAAAACAAAAACCTCTTCCTGGACCTCCTGGGCTCAAGGCATCCTCCATCCTTTGGCACTAGAGTAGCTGGAAGACAGCTACATAGAGACGTGCATACATTATGCATTCACTCTTTTATTTTTGTAGAGAGTCTTGTTCTGTTGCCCCATGTGGTCTCAAACTGCTGAATAAGCAATCCTCCTGCACCTTCCCAAAGTGCTGGGATTACAGGCGTGAGAAGCACGCACCAGCCACGATTTTCAATGGCTATCAAATACCTGGGAGAGGAAGTGAACAAAAGATGAGCAGGTCTTCTAACTTTGGTGGCTTCTACAAAAACTTTATTGAGATAGTTTAAGTCAAATATCTAATATAAAACCAGTTTGCGTTGTTTCAGCCTGTCTTCATTTTAAACTTGCTGGCGGTTGCCCTTCACCTGTAACGAAACACATAACAGGTGGGAACATTGCACCTAGCAGTACTGTGTTTAGATGACAGTAAGGATATGGAGAGGACACCCAAAGTTTTAGTTTTCTACAATGGACAAAAGCAGAAGCCTAAAAAGAGTCATCCTTTTGCTTACATTCAGGTGAACCTCTGTAGAGACTTTGACAATAATTAAGTCCCAGCCCAGGATGCATTAAAGATATTTCAAACACACCCCTGCTTCCTAGTGCTGCAAGAAAGCAAGACAGTCCGAGTCAACGTTAAATGAAGTAGACCCCTAAAGAGAGGGTTTAAAGTAGAGAAAGCAAACTTTGTGCATGGTTTTCAATTCAAATACCAGCGCCACACAAAATGCTGAAAAGGATAAAAGGAATTTACAGAAAAATATGTATAATTTTGGCAAACATTCTTTTAATATTCTGACTTGAATCTGTGGTCTAGTTTGCTGGAAGCATTAGGCTCTGGAAATGGTCACAATTACTACCTTGAAGAAAACGGTTCAGCCCCATCTTAGGAACTGCATAAGTGAAGTGAATAGAAAGGCCAGCATTGCATTTCGTCCAAGCGGATGCATTAAAGATATTTTTCAAACACACCCTGCTTCCTAGTGCTACAAGGAAAGCAAGACAGTCCGAGGTCCAAACACATTAAATGAAGTGAACCCACTAAAGAGAGGTTTAAAGTAGAAAGCAAACATTGTGCATAGTTTTACTCAAAATACCAGCACCACACAAAAATACTAAGAAACAAAAAAGGAGCTCATGAAAAATGTATAATTTTTGGCAAACACTCTTTTAATGTTCTGGCTTGAATCTGCGGTCTGGATGCCAAATGGGCTCCTGGAAATGGTCTGAATACTATCTTGAAAGAAAACGGTTAATGTCACCTTAGGAACTGCTTAAGTGAAGTGAATAGAGAGGACAGCATTGCATTTGTTTTTACTCTTTTGTGCAGAAGGGCAAACACATTTATTTGGGCTCGTTCACCCTTCTGTGGTTTGTAAGGTACAGTAACCGTTTGTACCCAGTATTCTCCTACCGTGATGTCAACATGAATCATGCCTCTTTTTACACTTGAAAGTATTCCCATTTGTACATTTAAGTATGTGGTCGCATTACTCTTAAGCTATTACTATCAGTTTTGTCATCAGTATGTGATAGCGTTATGAACCGTGTCACACATGAATAAATGGAGGGATACGGAAATGGAAAACAAGAGTAGGACAGCTGAAAAACCCAAAATTTGTTTCTAAAACTAAATGTTTTTTTGAGGGACAACTGGAATATTTCACAGTTTCTTCCACAGGCTTAGGGATGCTTAATCAGGTATTTGAGAAATAAATAATGTATGCCTTCCTAGCTTATCAACCATTTCATCCATGCTCTGAAAATATTAGCGTTCAAGATTGTAGTCACTTTCAATAATGCCCTATATTAAATCACTCTGTTTTGTTCATATTCCATGTCGTGCTTTTTCCATTTTCTTCAAGATTATGTAAACGACCGAATACTCTATTAATAGCTAAATTTCAAAACACCAATCTTTTAAATTTATGACATTTCAACTGCTTTTCCTTTTACTAATAATTCGTACCTGTCTTTTATGCACTACCTCTTTCATTTTCCTTTAAGTTTATTCTGTGGCTCTTTCATCGTTATTTCATAGTATTCTTTTCCTTTACCATGGAATGCGCTGTTTATTTTAATAAGATGTGCATGTAAAGCTATGATCTCCCTGAGAATACAACTGAGGCTTGTTCAATGGGCTCCTGGAAAAAGGCTGAGAACTATCTTTTAATGTAAATAGTGTAATGGAATGGTTCAGCAGAGTAGAGTAAAAACATGTAGGTAATTTCTCCCTTAAACACGGGGTGCTTCCTTTAACTTCAAGAGGTATTGTAATTAACAGTCACCATTTTGGAAAATACGTGTAAAACACAATTACGTCAACTACTCAGGATTTAGCACTCTGCTGTTGTTGAACTTCAAACCCTATCGTCTAATGTCTCAAGGCAGAAACCTGTAATATGTAACCTATGCTATGGTTAGAGGTGACTCTACTATATGAGTCTTCAACCTAATTACACGGAGTAGCTCATGAAGACTGACAAGAGGGCAGGGGGCATGCTTAGCAGAAGCATCTTACACCCACCTTGAGCATCACTGACCTACATGCATTCTCCCTACTTCACTGGCCACAGAAACCTGATGATCTCTTGCCATTTTACCATTCAGTCATTCAAGGTTTCACTGAGGGAAGACTTTAAAACACAGTTATTCTTTAAGAGCCAGAGAATTCAGAATTTGACAAAATCCAAGAACACTCATACAGCACTCCATACATGAAAACAAACATCAAGCAGAGTGCCCACTCATTTTCTTAGGAGCCATGAATCTCAACTCAGACATTGTAATTGGACAGAAGCTGACCGTTATGCTAAATCAAGAAAATCAGAATATCTTGGTCTTCTACCTAACAGAACCAGAGCATGCGGAAATCAGCAACGAAATGGATTTTAATCTATCTGATGTGCATCCATTCTTTTCAATAACAGCAAGGATGGGTGTGGAATTTATACGATTCATCTAGAGTCTCACAAATTATGGTAGAGCTGGTACTAGAATCTGTTTCAGGGCTCAGCATACTTCACACAAACTCTTATTGCATATGCATTATGTATTTGTTAAAAGCAGAAATGAGAAAAGAATCTGAAAATTGTTAGCTGTTGGTTATACACCAAACTAAGGAAATGCTGCCGTGTTTGATGATTCAATATGGCTTTGACCCGGTTTGTTTCTGTATCTGATCGTGTTCAAGTCTTGCGATCTGGCATTTGTGTCTGAACAGCGTTTCAAAGAAAGTTTGCATTTGCACTGTGTTTTTAAAGTAGCAGTAATGTTATCCCTCTGTTATCAAAAGTATAATGTTGTGTAAATGAGAACGCACATAACTTTGCATCTTGTTGGATAACATACCTGTTTCTGGCATTTTACAGTGTTCTTCCTTGGGTATAATCTTCACCTTGATGCCAGCACCCAAATCCAGATCTAACCCCGGTCTTTGACTGACGCAGCTCTTGCAGATCACCTTCCATGTCACGCACTTCGAAATACAAAGGATATCGATTTAAGCATTCCGACATGAAATATAAATAAGGAAATGATGATATTCTTTTCCTTAGCGTTATGAAATAAAGCCTTAGCCAGGTGTAGTGGCTCATGACTGTAATCTCAGTACTTTGGGAGGCCGACGTCACTTGAACCCAAGAGCTGGAGGTGGCATGAGTCAAGACCATGCCACAGCAATCCAGTCTGGGTGACAGACGATGCTCTGTCAAATTAAAAAGAAAAAGAAAGAAAGAAAGAAAATAAAAAGAAAAAATCTCTGTCAGTTAGCATGGTAATGAATGTCGTGCAAAGATGATACACCTTTGTTTCCCTGTTTTATGATATTTTATTGTTTTCTGAGTCAGGGTCTCGCTCTTTCGTCCAGGCTGGAGTGCTGTGGCACAATCAAGGCCCAGTGTGAACCCAACCTCTCAGGCTCAACAGAACCTCCTGTCTCAGCCTCCGCAGTGGCTGAGCATAAGGGTGCACCCCACCGCCAAGGCTAATTTCTGTTTGTTTGTTTTGTTTGAGACAGGACTTCTCAGTGTTGTCCAGGCTGGTCTTCAACTCCTGGGATCAAGGGATTTGTCCAACTCAGCCTCCCAAAATTTTGGGATTACAGTCGTGAGCTCCTGGCCCAATGTCTTTTTTTGAATTACAATCTAAGAATAACTCATACTATATGTAAATTTCCCACACTTTACCATTGTGTATTATGAACAGCAAGTATCAACTATCTACGAAATCTGAAGTCAGCCGCATGAATGCCACTTTAATCATAAGTGAAATGTAATTTTCCGAAGAATTAGATCAATGTTTTGGCGGGCCTCTGACAAATCCTACAGTTGTGACACCCATCCCTTGTTGAGGTAACTTGGAAATTGTTTGGGTAGTTAATCAACGTTGTGGTATGCTTAGGACCAAGAACCTTATGTGTAACTTTACATAAATGAATCCCATTTAGAATAATGTACCAAAAGTAACAGAGAAATCATTGTCTTGCAGTGCGACTACGGAAAGTAGGCCCAAATTCTGTCAATGTTTAGCTTGAAAATGCTACCTGTTGAGGATACATTTTCTGTTTCAGGATAATCTTATCCTACTTTGACTTTTCTAGCTATGAAAGTATTTAAACAACTGTTAAAACCCCCTTAAAATCACACTAATATTGCTCCCTGTATACTAGGGTCCAGAATTATCCAACTTTTATCCAACACACTGTCAAAAAGACCGATCAAAGGAAACAGTGGCTGTCATTCATTGAGTAACTGTCATTCTGGAGTTACTATCCTGCTTCACTGAACTCTTTTGTCCTGAGCCAATACTGAAGTACCTTACAGTACAGACACAATCGAGTGTTATGCATCTTAGGCAAACTGCTCACTTTTTATTATTACAACACGGATTGTAGGAAGAACACAAACCTTTGAACATAATATGAATTACTTCTCCATCAGTCAAGTGTTCTTTGCAAGCCTCAATCTCTGAGCCTCGGTTTTCTTATTTATACAATGGGGCTAACATCCTTTTACAAAGGGACCTTATTCACGGTGTTTTAAGTTCCGGTGACCTGGCACTCTACACTCAGTTAATGGGTGCTTACAACACTGTGGACACCATGGCTGAGAAGATCATACAGTAACATTCTAAGAAGATCAAATTAAACTAGTCAAATAATGTACATTTTTATACACCAAATTAACTGTTTTCAAGTGATTTAGTAAGGACTGTATTTTCAAGCATACAAAATCCATCTCGAAGAATAAAATAAGATTCCTTATATCCAGGGACAGCATGAAGATGCAAACTATACTCTCCCCTTTCCTGCCAAGTTTGAGCAAATGTTTGGTATCTTTTCCTCCTGTTCTCTTTCCTCCTGTTACTGCTCATGGCATAGGGCACGACACAAACATAGACCTTTTCCCGCCCCATAGACATGCTTTCTTTCCCTTCCCAGCACCTTGGATCTCAGCTCTATCCTGATCTTCTTCTGTCTCCTGAACAGGTGTAGGATCCCGACTTTCAGCTGCTGGTTCCTCTTCTTGGGGCTCTCCATTACTGGGCTCTGCCTTTCTTCTGGGGCTTGGTCATTGGGCCTCTGGGATTGGCTCTGTATGTGTGTCAGTGGGTGTGTGCAGATAAAAAGTTTTGCTATTAATACATGTCAATAATATAAATATACAGAATACATAGATACTTCTTATCATAAGTACGTCTAGAGGCATTTCTCCAACACTACCCCGTATACCTATTCTTCATAACATTATTCTTTCCTCAGAGAGGTTACTCAAAGATAGATATCCTCAAGGACTTTGGAAGCCATTTTAATCTATGTTGGGGTGAATGAGTGTAATCTGTTCTGAATAAGCATGAGGAGGAAGTTGTGGACAAAATCTGGGCACACACGATCATCCATCCACACAAAACCCAAATATCATCCTCTCTGACTAATCTTTCCTTCAGGATGCCATGATCATTTTTTGTCAACATGGGGAGACACCAGGAACGAGGCCATAAACAATTGATTACCATTCTGGTAGTCCAAGAACACTATCAGAAAAATAACTTTCTGCTAAGAGAAATCATCGAATGTTAAGACATTCATAAGCAGAGGCACAATAACCCAGGAGGTTGTGAACTTCTTCTTGGTATAGTACCCATATGTTGATCTTCCCTACTCAACACATATTTCACTCTGCAAACAGAATACTGTGACTGGGAAAATGTAATTTGATAGACAGCTGTATTCAACCACTTTCATGGTCAAATGTTAACTTGGTCATTTTCTTTTCTAATTTAGAAATACTCTGAAAGTCCTGGGCAAGTATGAGTGTGTGCAACTTTTGAATCGAATGCTTGCAAAGCCACTTAAGTAGGTCTGTCTAGCTGGAGTTAATGTCTGAGGCTGCTCCTGGCAAATAAACATTGGTGGCTTCCTATGAGGTTGGTTTCACAACTGACACTCCATCAGGAGACAAGTAGGAAATTACAGCTAGAGAATTAAAATTGAGTGACCACGAATTTTGTCACATAATGATTTGCTAAGCCCCGCGCCCCCACCAACCCAAATCACTTTTTTAGGAACTCAGAGCCCCACCCATTGGAATCTCCACAGTGGAGTTGAGAATTTGCTACACAGCAGTGCGGGGTACCTGCTCACAGGACACCTATACCAGGCACTCTACAGACCTCGGGGCTGCAGTCACTCCGCATTCTTCCGCCTCCAGGACCCTTCCATACTGCCTGCGCCGTCCCTCCTGGTCCCGTCTGGGGAGTCTAGAATCTTCTGTCAGGGTTCCAGGTGCTTTTGGGACTTGGAAACCTCCAAGAGCACCCCAGCATCGCCCCAGTTTCACCTGAGTCTCTCCTCCACTTCAAATGCCTTCCTTCCTTCCTAGTTATGGCTGTGACGAGACAAGAAGGTCCATGGCATGCGCGCCGCATCAAAGGGACGACGACTTCAAGGCCCTTCTCACTTTAAGTCACCGACCACGCCACGATCCAGAAGCCTGCTGACTCCTCCTCACTCTCACTCACACTTCACCTCCCAGTTGGATCGGCCTGTGGACCTACCCGCTGTGTGTTTCAGTAGGAGAGAAAGAATCCAGACCTCAGGGACCCGAGTCACTGACCACAGCCCGCCGCGTTCCCCCCACACTGGCGAAGGGGCCGATGGGAGGAGGCCTAGGAATATGCGCACAGAGAGGCACCAAGGACAGCGCGCAGAGGTCCCCTCTTGCCTTAAGGCTGTGGTACCTTCCCTATCTCCGCAGCCTGGCCCTGTCCTGTGCTCCTTCCCAGGTCCCCATGAACGACTTTGGAATGCCTCCCTTTCTGTGTGCGTGGGCTGCACCCCACCCAGGACTCAAATACCTCAAATAATGTCACCCTTCAAAACTCACCCCATGGCTCCGGCGCGCGGTGGCTCATGCCTGTAATCCCAGCACTTTGGGGGCCCGAGGCGGGTGGATCATGAGGCCAAGAGATCGAGACCATCCTGGCCAACATGGTGAAACCCCGACTCTACTGAAAATACAAAAGTTAGCTGGGTGTGGCTACACCTGTACTCCAGCTACTCGGGAGGCTGAGGCAGGAGAATTGCTTGAACCCGAGACGGAGGGTTGCAGTGAGCCGAGATTGCGCCACTGCACTCCATCCTGGTGACAGAGAAAGACTCCGTGAAAACTAACAAACAAACAAACACAGAAAACAAACAAACAAACAAACAAAAGACCTCACTCCATGTTCACCTGACCCTCCTCCCCTCTCCTCTATGACCCTCCTTATTCCCATGCCCGGGACCCCACCACCGCAAGGCCATGGTGGTGGTATCAGCTGAGTTTTAGTAGAAAGAGATGACAACTCTGAGGTCATGGGCCAAGCGGTACAACACAGGAAGCCCGCCGCTCCTCACACACTCACTCACACTTCAACTTCTGGGAGGACTGATCTGCAGACCTACTGGCTAAATTGAAGTCAGCACGAAAAAAGAAAGTCACCGCCTCTCCTTTCACAGCTGTGCAGGGACAGAAGGCAGAGAGAGCAAGGCGCATCGGCAGCAAGGCACTTTACAGAGGGATGCACACTGAGCCAGGACTTTGCAGGACAGGGTAGGGTTTTCCGCTGTCCCCAGACCCGCATTCCCAGGGCGTCTGTAGTAGAAAAAAGGACTTGAGAGCTGCTTCTCTTGTCCAATCTCATGCATTCAGAAACGTTGGGAACAGACAGTCCCTTACCGGAGGATGTGTCTCAGAAAGACTTTGTGAAGAAATAAATTATTTCATATCTTTATTTATAAATCCTTTTATTTTTGTTTTTCCAGACAGAATGTGGTTCTGTTGATCAGGCTGGAGGGCAGTGGCATGACCACACCTCAGCAAGCCTCCCCTCGTCTGGGCTCTAAGAATCCTCCCAGTCTCTGCTACTACAGGTGCAGACACAACACCTGGGTAATTGGTTTCCTTATTCTTTAGATAGTGGTCTCACTGTGTTGCCCATGCTGGTCTCAATTTCCCACCAAACGATCCTCCCACCTTGGCCAGTTTTATAAATACTTTTATTAATCAGTTTGTTCTCTGGTTCTGGGTTTTCTGCCATGCTTCCAATAAACATAGTTGAATAAATTCTTCTGTAGACTAAATACATTCACACCTGTTTACTTTTTTCTTTTTGTGGTTGTGTTATTTCACATTTAAATCTCTGGACTGGTAACTGATTTCCTGAATAGGAATGTAGGTCATTCAGACAGTGTATGTTTCCAGAAATAACAGAGATTCTGATTGTAGGCTCTCGGCTCAGTTCTGACCAGAAAACAAGTCCTGCCAGTCTCCTACCTCAAATATATGTTCGTATATTGACCTGATCCCTGGGACAAGCTTCCCAGACTGAAACCATGGTATCGGGCTGAAAGCTGGATGCTTTCTTGAGGGGATAGAGTAACATCCATATTTTCAATCCGTGTGTAAATAAATTAATTAATGGATGAAAAGATGTATGCCATAATGCAAAGCAATGGTTATATTTGATTAAATACGTCACCAAATTTTGCTTAATAGGTCTGATCGTAATTATTTTTAGTCTTTGTGGGTCATGTAGTTTCTGTGGCATATTGTTCTGTTTTTTAGAAATAATACTTTTAAATGGAAAAAAATCCTTATTCTAAATGGCTATGCAAAACAAGTCATGGGGCTGTATTTAGATCTCAAACCATAGTCAGCTTAGCTCCTGGGTTATGTTTACTTCCCATATTTAAATGCTGTATTTTTGTACCAGTACTCAAAATATTAACAAAGGAGAATTCCACCACCAGGTAAGATTTAGAAAGCCTCAAGAGAAAGTCACTTTAGCTCCTGAAATGAGAAAAGCCTAATAATCTATAGCATTATCTTTTTCTTTTTGCTTTGTTTTGAGATCATGAGAGACTGGAGGTAATAAGGCAGCCATGGGAACCGATACAAAAGAGCACTAGTCCCTCTGGAGGAGGGATGACACACAAAACTACACCACCTCTGGCAGAGCATGTTTCAAGAAGTGACAGCCATAACGGGGTAAGAAGAAAACCAGAAAATGTAACAAATTCATTAAGTTCAAACACAGGCATTTGAGAGAGCTGGAATCCTGGGAAGTCTCAGACACCAGTGGAATTCCAGGGTCTACAGACAGAAAGAGATCCTGTCTCAAAAAAACAGAGTCAGAGTCTATAAGACTGATAAAAAGCAAGAACAAAAATAACAGATGCTGGTGAGTTTGTGTAGAAAAGGCAACGCTTACACCCTGTTGGTTGGAGTATAAATTAGTTCAACCATTGTGGAAAGGAGTGTGGCAATTCCTCAGGGACTTAAGAACAGAAATACCGTTTGGCCCTGCAGTCTCATTGCTGGACTGTACCCAAAGGTACAGTCCCTCCCTCCTCCCTCCCTCCTCGCTCCTTTCTCCTCCTCCCTTTGCTCCCTTGTCTCTACCTTTTCTCTTTTCTTTTTCTCTTTTCCTTCCTTCCTTTCTGTTTTTTTTTTTTTTTAATGGAGTTTCACTCTTTATATTCCAGACTGGAGTGCAATGGCACGATCTCAGATCACTGAAAATCTCCGCCTCCTGGGTTCAAGTGATTCTCCTGCCTCGGCCTCCCCAGTAGTTGAGAGTACATGCATACACCACCACATGTGGCTAATTTTTGTATTTTTAGTAGAGATGGGGTTTCACCATGTGGGCCAGGCTGGTCTCATACTCCTGACCTCAGGTGATCCACCCACATAACACGCAGCAAAGATTTTCAGCCCACACTGCAGACATTCAGTTGCTTTTGTCACACCTCGGTTATTTAGAAATTAACTGTGAATGTATAAATGGGTGATACCCAGCTACACTGCTATTAAATTAACATATTTAAATGAAATATTTATTTTCTAAATTCAAATGTATTTTAAAAGTTGACATTCTTATTTAAAAATCCAAAAGGTGCTATCACACACGAGAAATGTAGCTGTAAGTGAAAAAAATGAAAGGAAAAAGTTTGAAATCTAAAGGAAAAGGAAATCTAACTAGGAAGCCAAATTTATCTGCAATGTAAAGCCTGCTTGATGTAATTTCCCTTTATTTTTTCATAGCAAGTAGTTTTAGTGTACATATTGTAATTTCTACTTTAGAAATGGAAACACAGTCCCAAGTGTGTAAGTATCTGCCCACCATATCAAGGGCACTGTGTGAGAGGCAAGAGGAAACCATTGGCTACTCCATGCCATAGTCTGTAAAGAGACAGTGTAGGTAGGACCTGTCATCTTGTTTCAGCAAGTTGCCCTGGTTGCTTGACCTCTTTCTTCACTAGTTCTAATTCTCTCACTCCAGCTCCATATTCAGGACTTCTCACATGTTCTGTGGCAAGCGGGATACCCTAGGAAAGGAAGCAGATGAGGAGACACAGCACGGGGTATGGGGGAAGGGGCATGGAGATTCTGTGTTCACTAGGGGCATGCTGCCCTCCATATGTTCAGTGAGCCAGAAGCTCTCTGAATCCTGTCCTTTGGTTTTGATGGGAGGGTTTCATTATGTAGGTGTAGATTAAACTGTTGTCCTGCCATTGGGGATCAATCTAACTTTCTGCCCCTCTCCCTTCCTGAAGGTTGAGCGGGGGCTGAAAGCCCAAACACTCTTATTCCCCAGCCTAGAGCTATTTCCAGGTCCTGCCAGCAACTCACTGGCATACAAAAAGACACCACTTTGTGGAGATTCTAAAAATTATAGGACTTGTGTGCTGGTGGTGCTGGCCCAGGACCAAATATGTATTTCAATATCACACCTGTGCACACCAGCTCAATCAGAATACAAAATTTAGGGGTCGACATTTTTTTTTTTTTAAATAGAGTCTCTATCTCGAAAAAAAAAAAAAAACAAAACCCCTTCCTGGACCTCCTGGGCTCAAGGTATCCTCCATCCTTTGGCACTAGAGTAGCTGGGAAGACAGCTACATAGAGACGTGCATACATTATGCATTCACTCTTTTATTTTTGTAGAGAGTCTTGTTCTGTTGCCCCATGTGGTCTCAAACTGCTGAGCTCAAGCAATCCTCCTGCCTCAGCATCCCAAAGTGCTGGGATTACAGGCGTGGGAAACTGCACTCCAGCCACGATTTTCACATTATCAAATACCTGGGAAGGAAGTGAACAAAAGATGAGCAGGTCTTCTTTGGTGAAAGCTGCAAAACTTTATTGAGATAGTTTAAGTCAAATATCTAATATAAAACCAGTTTGCGTTGTTTCAGCCTGTCTTCATTTAAACTTGTGGTTGCCCTTCACCTGTAACAGAAACATAACAGGTGGGAACATTACTAGCAGTACTGTGTTTAGATGACATTAAGGATATGGAAAGGACACCAAAGTTTTAGTTTTCTACAATGGACAAAAACAGAAGCCTAAGAGTCATCCTTTTGCTTACATTCAGGTAGACCTCTG